CGCACGCGCGCACACACACACTCTTAAATATGAAGCTCGGCACTGAAGCACTACTGTCGAGTCGCTTGATCGTCTTGTTGCCACCGCTGCTGTTAGAGTCCTACGAGACATAATAAACGTTTTCCGAGGGCGTCCTAGCAATACTGGGCTTCCTCATTCCCCTCTTTCTCTTCCTGGCTGGTGAACCTCCCTCTCGCTCCGGAACCCCTTTCCTTCCCTTAAATGCGCCTGAAGCTGTCACCTTCCTAGCCTCCTGTGAATGCACTTGCCCTGATTCAGCATTTGGAGATTGCCTTACTAGAAGAGATTCACAGACTGGATGGGATTCCAGGATTTTATTAGGTGGCATAATAGGATCAGGGGGTCTTCAACATCCGTGAGACATGTGTCCCAGGACTGGACCCCCAAGGAATTGGAAGAAAGTTGAGCTAGGAGCTCAGCATTCTTGACGCAAGCCCTCCCTTGGTAAGGGTATGAAGACACTCATTCAACCAATATTTGCTCAGCCCCAGCTCTGTGCCAGACATCGTTCTAGCACTGAGGCACGGTAGTAACAGACACATAAGGTCCCAGACCTCAAGAAGCTCACGTTCTGGTGGGAGGAAGAGCCAGCAGAGGAAACCAAGAAGGAGGGACTGGTGAGGTAAGCAAATCAGAAGACTCTGGAGTCTGTGAAACAAAATGAGAAGAGCGTTTTAAAAAAGCGAGAGATGTCAACTTTGTTGAATATCGCTAATAGAACGAGTAGAATGAAGAATTGACTATCGAATTTAGAAAAGTGAGTTGAAGTGATTGAGGGAGGACATCTGATGACAGTGAGTAAAAGCAACTCTTGGAGTTTCAGTGTCAAGGGGAGCAGAGGATCGTAGTGGGCTGAAGGAAGATGGAGGGTGACCAGACTCTTTTTATAAGATGACAGCTACTATAATATATTTTATAAGATGAGAGCTGGGCCGGCCCGGTGGTGCACTGGAGAGTGCGCTGCTTGGGAGTGCGGTGGCGCTCCCGCCGAAGGTTCGGATCCCACGTGGAAACAGGTTCCCGCTCACTGACTGAGCGAGGTGCGGGCGCAACACCGACGGTTGCGATCCCGTTGCCGGG